GACCGGACGCTCCGGTCAGTTCACCCCGAACTCCAGTGTTTAAAGTGTGACCGGACGCGTCCGATCGTGATTTTTCCTCTCTGGAACCTTACTAGAAACGACCGGACGCTGGCCCTCAGCGTCCGGTCACTTCACCTCTCAGCGTCCGGTCGCACTAGACGAAAACACCTTGGTCAAATGAACTGATCGGACTCTGAGCCAGCATCCGATCAAACCAGAGCCAGCGTCCGGTCAGTATTTGACCCTCCATTCACTTCCAACTCTCGATCATACGTGAATGAAGTTTGCTCCATTGGATCTAAGGGCTATTTAGGAGCTACCTAGTGCTAGTTTTAGCAACTGTGCACCACACCTAACCCACTAGACTCACCTAGGTCAAGCTACCCGTCCATACCCCCCTTAATATATGGCCAAAGGAAAAACAAAGTCCTAAACTACTCTAAGTGTCTCTTCAACACCAAACGACACTTAGAACTAGTCCATCCTTAACCTTGTCGTCCATCCTTTGAAAACCGGAACGATTTCCATCATAGGGGCATGACCACCATGATAGCCCAATCGATCTCCATTATCGTGACCTAACTTAATTGCCTCTACAAAACACACGTTAGTCACAGTAATCACGTATTGTCATTAATCACCAAAACCCAACTAGGGGCCTAGATGCTTTCGCATATAGCCATGTGGTTCATTGGCCCTAAAGCTTTTCCTAACTGTTTCGTGAACCAAGTCCAATTTTTCTTGGTCTCTAAATCAAAGAACCCAAAAGCAATTGGGTACAACCAATTGTGGCCATCTATTGCATTGGCTACAGGCATGTGGCCATTCCACTCGCCATTGAGAGCAGTTGAATCTACACTAATATAGGGTCTACAGCCATCTCTAAATCCATCTATACTTGCTTTGAAGGCACAAAAAAATCTACTAAAATGTACCTTGCCTTCCACAGTAACTATATCTATCTCAACTACACTACCAAGAGACCTAATCTCAATCTCAGCCTTGAATCTGAACAAATAATCAAAACAATCATCCCACTTACCAAATAATTTATCTACAACCCTCTGTCTCCCATAAAATGCAGTCTGATATGGAATCTTGAAGTTGTACTTCTTCTCTAACTCTTCCTTCATAGCTTTGGGACCCATCTCAGGATTATCCTTCAGCAGTGGTATAGCCCTCTCAGCAATCCACTTCTGGGATGCCATCCTCCCAAGAACTCTACTTTTTGAAGGACACTTGTGGGTACCCTTATTGATTTGGATCTGCACATACATGAAGAAATGTCAGAAATAGTTAAGATAAAGGCATATACAACATGCAAAAATTAGAAATAAGGTTACATCAAGTGGACAAAAAAAGTGTTAGTATTGGTACCCTAACACTGCCATCCTTCTGTGTCCTAGCTCTAATTTTCCATGGGTAGCCCTTGGAACTGCAATAGCCCCTAAACCTCTCCTTGTTAGACTTCTCTGTTCCCAATTCAAACTCATTCACAATAGCATGCTGCCTAACTGCCATCTTGAAATCATCCATGTAAGGATATAGTGTCCCAACACTCATGTCAGGGTTGTCTCTATCCCAACCAAACATTGGCTCATCAACCAAGTCATCATTAGCAGGGATTGCTACCTCATTCATTTCAACCTCCACATCAGCAGGTATGTTAGGAATAGGAACCTCATCTGCAGGAGCCTCATATGCTACCTTGAAACCAAAAGGCTCATAGATTTGATCCTCATCTACCACAACATTAGCTTCACCATCACAGTTCTCATCAGGCAATATAGTCAATGTGTTCCAATCAACCACATTTCCTTCAGCTCTACCTTCTTCAGGAGTACTACAAGTGTCACCTAAGCCTTCTGCATTCTCTGCATGTCCTGCATTTGTCACACCACATTGGGCAGCAGTAGCAGAAGACCCACCTTTGTTTGCTCTGCTAACAACATCATTCAGACCAGCTACATCTTTCTCAACAACATCAGAGCTAACATGCATTACCTTCTCATCCATCCTACACATTATCATCTCCTCAAACTAATCACTTCTAGTAACCTTCCACTCTGTTCCACTGTCAATGTCAACACCCCAAACAAGCAGTTGCTGACTGGAGCCCCAAATGATCTTGCTGGCCATATCATCTATAAAGCCATTCAGTGTGTACACATTGCTACTGTCAAACCATAGGTCATGTTCTTGAGCATCTAGGTCAAACACTCCATAGTCGTTAACCAAAGTGTATTTATCAATGCTAACATGGATTCTAAAAGCATTGCCAGGATCAATCCTAATAATGACAAGCAAATAAAACAAATCGGGAGTTAGGACAGAACCAACTCCGCAGTCTACATCACATGCATGCCATAACAAAGAAACATACCACGGGGGGCATGGAGACAACACCATGGTGGCTAATGGTTTGCTCTACATCTAAATCCTACATCAACACACGCAAATCAGGAACCCTACCCAAGCATTACATGGCATCGACGAAACCCTAGCATCAGGTATCGCATCCCATCCACAGATGCCACGCGTAGGTAGAAGAAGGGAGTAGATCTAACCTTGTGGGCCGTCGTGCCATCCTGCAACTTGCTGCCACCGTCGAGCTCCTGCATGCCCGCCTCGAGCTCCCGTCGCCGCGGGGAATGAAAGGGGAGGGAGGGGAAAACCTAGTGAGTGGACTGAGCAGACGAGGGGAGACGGCGCGTGTTAAGCAATAGACAATGAGGGCAGAATGGTCTTTTGGCTTCGGTCTTCGAGCAACAATGGCCTGTTGCCAAGCTGGCTAGCTGATCTAGCATGCCACGTCAGCGAAAATGGCAAAATATTAGGTGAGCTACTGTTTTCTGGAACATTTTTGTAGTTGGCCCCACAAAGTTGGCAATAGGAGAGGCGGCCTCCATAAGAGTGGCAAATAATTAGAAATCCCTAACCATAGGGGTGTGAACGAGACAGTTTGGTCTTTTTAGGAGTAGACAGAGATTATTACTACATCGACGAACCATCACCCAACAACTTAACTATTACAACAAATGTTCCCTAAACTTGCAAAATACCATTACTAACTTTTTAGCTCCCTTTTACATGATAATAGATTTCAAGCAATTGAAATCTCGGTTTTGTTCAGTTTATCATGTCAACAACTATTCAGACGACGCTGGTGAAGTTTAATTTCAAACAGGAATTTGCTACTGGCTGGGATGCGTTAGTGATTTAGTCCTATCTACTCGTTCCAGTCATCGACGTAGCCCAGGAGAGTAGGTCAGTAGGAGCTAGCCGGCGCTGTCCGTGACTCCGTTTCGTTTTCTTCTCCGATGAGGCGATGAGGCCGCCAGTAATAACAGAAATAGAGAGGTTTGTTTATCGTAGTTCTAGTTTGTTTAGAAGAAATAAATTTATGGGCAAAATTAGAAGATTTTTATTGAAATCTTGTTATCTGTGATGGCTTTCGTGATTGCTAGGACGAAATCACCATTGCAGACGTCGATTTTATCAGCGAGAAACTAATTTGCAGTCATTATCTACAAGAGCAGGGATGCTCCTGAGTACTCCCCGCTAGGACAACAAATCCAGGTCATTGATCTCATTATTGATGGTCACAGAGAAGAAATCAGGCATCTAACTTGACGAATCAAAGATTAGAGGTGATGGTTCTGTAGCCTATGTCATAGCCGACGAAGCAATTGCCAAATATTCTTTCATTTGTTTAGATATGTCAAAGGAATTCTCATCAACAATACAGATCAACATTTTGTGCGTAGGAATCAGGTGGGTAACAAACGGGACACAAATTTACACTGGTTCGGATACCCTACGTCTAGTGGAGAATCGATCTCTTATCTCGTATGCTAGGGAATTACATGGGCGTTGGTATTTTTGTCTAGCTAAGAGAAGCTTGGATTCTCTATGAGACTGATGATGTACTGAATGCCAATTCCTTTGAAATTCCTATGATCCAAACACAGCCTATCCATTTGAAATTCCTATGACCAAACACAACCTTATTCGTTGGGATCTTTGTTTCGTTCCCACGATGGTCAAGCTCCTGATGGTCTGAGCATGTCGCCCGTGTTAATGGGACAGGACCACAAAAGCCCCGTGACTAGCCATCGCTATATCATAGCCCAAATATCTAAAAGAAATTCATCGATAATGTTTAACATATCTTTTTATTTTTGAACTTAAGTCATATATGTAATAATAATAGTCATGGATTGACGCCTATTCTTTAAAGAGATTTGAAGCCCGTTCAAGTATATATCTTAAATAAATTAGAGGGAGGCAAGTGCAAGACAGACACACCACGTGAGGGTGAGGGCGGAGAGCTAGGGACAGAGAACTGTATCTATGTGTTTCGTGGTGTTTGGTGCCACACTTGGCTACCTTTGCTTATATATAAATTTCATTCGTCTTAATTGAAAGACACAGCTCCTATTATTATTAAAAAAAAAAGAACTGTATTGATGTTGTCTTCCTTGCATAGCTGCGCAAGGTCACAGTGCATGCATCAGTTCATACGAAGGACACGACAGACCTCAGTCCTCAGGGGCTAGACGTCACAACAAGTTGACGTCGATGCAGACGACTTTCCGGCCGGCGGGTATAGATGAGTAGCAACTCATTGTTTACTAAAACATTGTTTATTCAAATAATTACCACCATTCTCATTTATTCAAAGATCGATTGTTTACTCCGAACAATCGTTGGTTGATTTCTGGACTGATAAGTTCGATTGGTGCTAGTTTATTGTAAGAGAAAAATACTATTGGCTAGCTGATAAGTCCTGACTAAAACCAACAAGCGAACAGGCTGAATAAAAAAGAGCTGAAGTTAATGAATTCTCATTGTCTGTCTGTCTGTCTGTCCAGTACAAATAATCGCGAACAAACAACTATACATACCGTCACTTAGCTTGTGTATGTAACAATATAAAAGGAATTGAACAAATGATTAGAAAGAATATGTGTGTTGAGAAATAAGCTATCATGCCCTAGCTAGACACCGTGTACGCATGCATTATTCTTGTTGTTGTGTTTGATGATGTCTTGTCTCGCCTTGGCGGCCACGGCCTTGGCCCAGAGCTTGAGCTTCTCCTTGACGTCCTCCTGGTGGCTTGGGCGCCGCTCCCCGCGCCGCGCGCGCGCGCTCTGCTCGCGCCCGAACGCCAGCACCATGTCCGCCGGCACCACCGCGTCGATGAACGCCTCGAAGGCGCGCAGGTGCTCCGGCGGCGCGCCTGCTTGGTCGTCGTCGTCGTCGTCGTCGTCGTCGAAGGCGTAGTGCTGCGCCCGCCAGTCGGCGTCCGCCATTGCCAGCGCCTCAATGGACGGCCTTCCCATGCCCCTTTTCGCGATCGCGGTGGCGGTCGCCGTTGCTGCTGCTTCTGCTTCTCGTCGACGTGATAACGTCGTCGTCGTCGTATTCGCACGTATATCACGGTGATGTTCTGAGCGTACGGTGATGTCGTGTAGCAATGATAACAATGGTATAATACAACGACATGCCTGATTTGTGTATTTATAGTGATTGTTTGGGCTGTCAAATCTGAAGCGCGATTTGATTTGACGGTGGCACGATAATACGAGATTACGGAGTCGGATTTAATTTCTAGTCCTAATCGTTCGTGAGCCGCGCGGTAGACTCGGAGTCTGCTGGTTGCCACAGTCACGGACGGAAGGAGGCTTCTTCTGGCGTACGCGTGGACCGGGAACTTTCGTTTCCAAATCGGGGCCGGATCGGAGTACGTACGGGTACGGGGTCGCCTCTCCGTTTCCGTCTGGCTGACCGCCGCTTGCAGGTCGTGGTTCGTGTGACCTCTGACTGATACGTGGCTAGCCTAGCCTGGTTCGTATTCGTACGTGCGTACGTCACGGTGGTGGAGTAGCGCACAGTCACGTCCACGTCGTCCGTGTGATGAGCCTCGTAACCCTCGTTCGGGTCCTGTACGGTGTGCTCCTACACGTACGTACAGAACCTGATCGATAATCGTATGTATACGCGCGTGTGCAAAACGTGACGTTCGTAATCGTATGTATACGCGGAGCACACGAGTTGCTGTACATGCATAGCTTTTGGGTTTCAATGCAATGCAAGCATGAACAGGATCCGGACGGCCTCCATCGGATCCGCTGACTGGTCACGGTCACGTACGTGTGAACACAACCTGGGGTTGACCGTTGATTCGGAGGATGCTACAGCCTACAACTTGTCGTAGTTGTAGTCTATACACTACGATATAGGCAGTCATCCAAGTAATCTACGATTACTGAAGCTGGCTCGTGTTGTTGTGTGTGGTATTGAGCTCCTGAATACAGGCTGGAACCCTTTCAAAAAAAAATACATGTTGGAACATAAAAACAAATATTTGCCAATGTATAGCGTCAAAAATATTCATAGGCTTTTTGAAACATAGGGATTTCACAAAAATATTATAGAAAATTTACATATATCAGTTTAATTGGCGTCCAAATAGGCCCCAACCGTGTTGCCGAGAAAGCGTTGTCCGTTTAGGTGCCGTTCGGCTGGTCACAAAAGCCGACTTATTTGGCTTCTTTTTTCAAGCGAAACAGTGTTTTTCTCTCACGACAATTCAGTCGGAATAGTGTTTTTTCAACCAAATTCAGCCCAAACCAAATAGGGCCTAAAGAGTTTTCGAAAGAGATACTTTTTGTTCCAACCTTTCAAAGAGAAGGCGTAGTCCGTCTTAAGAGGTTTCTGAAAGAGATACTTTTTGTTCCAACCTTTTCGGAAAGAGGTTGTAGCGTACTGTATTAGATTTCCCAGATTGAATTAACCATGATGATGCGTCTCCAACCTCCGAACCTCCTCTGCCTGACTGCCTCCGCGCCGGCCTTTGACTACTCCATCGATCACGAGTTTACCAATCCGCACGCTGTTGAGCTTAGACATAATCAGACCAAACATAGTAATGTTCTCATCTGTTAAGTTCGAACGCATCTTCACATAGGAATAGGATACCAACAAGATTGATGTGGTAGTGTATCTTTTTCGTGTTACATATTTCTACATAAACAACGGAATAGTTAGTAAAACACGCCTCTGCCGCGAGCAATAAAAATATTGCAATTGTGCAGTTGCAGTCGATCACTTTATTTAATTTACACCCTACAGTATGATCTGACCGGTTTCCTTTTAATCTCTTCTTCTCCACATAACATTTACCAAGGCAACTGTTAGCGAGTCGTGGCCCAAAGCGCCTACTGAGAAACTGAAGCTACAACTCGCTTTAAAGAACACTGCACAGTCTGAACTACCTCAGTTCCATTGGCAATCAAGAACGAGAAGAGCAGTAGCAACTCTGTTACTCCTTGATGGCATCTCCCAGCTCTTCTTTGGCCGTGCCAGTTTGTTCATCCTGAATTTCTTTGTACGTTCCAGTTTGCTCATCGTATGAGTACCTGCGCACATTGTAGACATAAGCACAGAAACCCAAACCTATAGATTCAACAACTTTTCTAACAAAAAAGCAGCAGCAAAGAACTAATACAAGGATTCAGTTATTGCGCATGCAGGAACAAAGCATATAGCGTTGTCGCATACAAAGTGCAAAACCAGCACACCTTCAGCCTCAGTCAGCTAAAAGGGATTAATGCTATTGCAATGCAAGCAATGTTTTCAAAACGTCTAATCGATCCTAGTCTCCATGGCAACGATCAGCCCGACTAATCGTGACTAATCACGATTAACCACGACTAATCGTAGTGCATAGCTGATCGCCATGGCACCGATCAGCCCAACTAATCGCGACTAATCACGATTAGTCAGACGACTTGATAACCTTGAATGCAAGTGATGTCCACAGAATACATGGCAGTGCTCACTCTACTAAATTGGTCATCTAACCCAATGCCTACTAAAATTTCTTGTTGGAACAGCTGAAAAGAAACTGAGGTAGTTCAGACTGCCCAGTGACAACTGCCCAGTCTGAACTACCTCAGCTCCCTTGTGTTAAAATGTTTCACAAGCAGTGGTCAGTGGTCACTGGCTAGTCAACCGAAAGGGTTCGCCAGTAAAAGGGGGTACTGGGATACAAATCCTAAGAATTTGTCAGGCAATCAACAATAAGTTCTGCTAATGAATGTAGGACTGCTACAGCCTACTAGGCTACTACCATCTTGGCTCTCATCAAAATTATAATCATGTTCTGCTGCAAATCAAAATTAAGTAACCAACCTGAGCACTAAAGAACATATTTCTTCCCAGCACATAACCGGCAATGACACATTTTAGCTTCTTTATAAAATAGTTAGTAAACAGCACATAGTCCCCTGGACAGTTCATGTTGTAATTCACAACTATGTATACTAAAGAAAAAAGCATGCAGCCAAAATGACGTTGCATTCTAAAGAAATGATTGACACTGAAAAAGCAATAACTATTAAATGTAAATCAAGGATGAATTGGGGAAAATTTTACCAGGTTCCCGTAGATGCAGAACCATAATATCCAGAGTTAGGGTCATAGTAATAGCCTGTGCTGCTGCTATAGTAGTAACTGCATGAAAAAAGGAATAGAAATACACAATCAACACATGCAATCTGTATAGACATTAGAACAGTCAGTGTGGCTGTTCTCTTTTTATTTTCAAAACAACCCGTAAAAATCTAGGAAAAGCAGCATAGAAAAAACTATAGCCTACCCTGAAGAAGGATCATAGACATAGTCTGAGTCCACGCTTTCATTATCAGCTTCTGCAGGAAGAAGGAAAAAAATATTTGTGAATAAAGAAAACACAACAGTTGCCAGAAAGAGGGGGAAATGTGCAACAGGTTTCCACAAAAGAGAGAAGAGCCAGAGATGTGAACTTACTCTTCACATCTGAGGTTCCAGGATGCAAACCTGAACCTACAGTATTGGCATCAGAACTATGATTGGCATCATCGCTGTCATCATCACCAAACATGTCCAGGTTACTGTCATCGTCGTTGGTTGCAGCAGTGGCTGTAGATATATTGGCAGTTGAGGGACCAAGTTCCATTTCCAGTACAGATGATGGTTGGTCAATTTCCAGTACTGACGATGGTGTCTGGTTATATTTTGGATCTTCAGAGACATCATCAACTTCTGGCAAACCAAGTCGAGCACGTGCCAAACGTTCATACCCAGCTGCAAAGGCAAAAGAGGGGGTAAAAGTCAGGCAAATTTCTTGAAATGACAATTTAAGGAAATGACTAAGGAGTGAAGTAATGTATTGTACATGCCTAGGTAGGTCAGGTTGATGTCTCAGGATAAACATAGATCAAGTTATGCATAGTGTCATAGTGGTGCTAACTTCAGAGATACATGACAACATTAAACATGCAATCAAGCGATGGTAGTGCACCTCATGCATTCACGAAAGCAACAGAGTGACTCTGTTTCCATTGGGGGGAAAGGTAGAGATAACCTTGATAATGTAAAACCTATGTATTTTGCATTTTTTTAACTCAAGTGATGCTAAGGAAACCAAAGACAGTGATCCTTTTGTGTGCAATCAGTTCACTCTGATGAAACCAGTACCATTAAAGTGAATTTAGGTGGTCATGGAATGGAATTTTCCATATGCTAGTAAGAAAGAAAACAACTAACCAGCCTCGCGTTCAAAGGTCTCACGATCATCTGAGTAAACATCTAAACCAAAACATGCACAACAAGGAATAAGTCACATTGACACTGAAATGACAAATGTAAGGATAAAAAGAAATATCAAATAATCAAATAAGAATTTCAAGAAAGAAAAGCATACTATAGTCGCCATTCTCCATTAGCTTCATGGCAGCTTCAGTCAATTCATCAAATATACGTTTAGTCCCCTCAGCCATCTTTCCACGTTTATCCGTGGATGTACCCTTCAACCTTTTCAAAGCTTGCATTATCTGTCAGTTGGTGAAGAAAATATAAGATCTGAATGTTGTAAGTTTAGATATTTGGATATATGGGAATCCATTGAGTAAATTAAGCATCATTCACTAGCTAAGCCCAAACACAATAATAGTAAGTCAGAAAAGTTGACACAGGAACTAAATGCTATTAATTGTTGAAGGGTAAAGGACAAGAAAGGGCTGCATAAAAATATGCTAATGATGCAACAAAAACACACCGTTTCTCCTGGTTCAAGCAAGTTTGCTATCTTCCTTTTTAGCCTCCCAATGTCATCGGAAGAGAGGTCCTCAAACTCTTCTACTTTCTCTTTGCCTTTGTTCTGAACCTTTGCAGCATACGTTGGGTCAACTTCCACACTGTCCAACCAGGCATCCTACAAGGCAAACGTGTTTGCGTCACCAATGGTAACTTCTTATAATATAATGTTAATGGTGCTAAACAAAAAAACTCCATTACCTTAATCTCATTGCCTCTTGCGTACTCCACAAAGTTCCCATTTTCATCGAAATAACCTTCTTCCCTTTCTCGCTCCAAGTTAAACGGCTCTATCCGGATACCATCATCAACAAAGTTAACGCCATCCTGTTGAGAATCAAAATACAGCTCAACAATTTGTACCTAGCATTCATTTGCTGTCAACATTAATAAACAGGAAAAAAGATGCAAGCGGAGAAGCAGGGCATACGTTGTAGCGGACTTCGAAGCCCTTGACGTCAGCAGCACCTCCCTTCGCGTCGTCGCCCTCCTTGAGCTGGCCGTGGCGCTGCCGTGCCCGGCGCTCCGCCGCAAGCTCCGGGTTCAGCATGCTGTCGAGGTCCACGGCGTTGCCGGAGGGGCCTCCCTCCGCACCGGCGTCGCGGTACTTGGCCTTCTTCCCCTTAGGGAACCGCGGCTTGCGCTCCCTGCGAGCGCGGTGAGCGACACAAAATCAACATGAGCCCTGCTAGGGCGTGAGACCAAAACCCTAACCAGGAGAACTCGACGAGTGGGGAAAGGGGGGAAGGAAGGGAGAGAGGTCGAGCAGTCTTACCGGCCGGCATCGTCGTCGTCGCCTGCGGTGGCGGTGAGAGGGCGCTTGGTGCCACGCGACGGCTCCGTGGGCTCCATGGGTCGGCGGCGGCGGCGGAGGCGAACGGCGTGGCGTCAGCGAGAAGGAGAACGTGGGAAGGAGACGAGACGAACCCAGCGGAGGTACGGTATGTGTTTGGGGCTTTACCGCTTTGGGCTCTCAGCGGTGCAGTTCGAACTCTAAAATGGGTTGGGCTGCGTGGACGGGCCTAGGTGGGCTTTTCAAGCCTGGCTGGGCGAGCAGTTTATTCTCGATTGTTTGGTTGGTGGTGGCTTCATTTTTCTACTGAGTATATACACGTACTCCCCCCGTCCCACAAATACTGTAATTATAGGACTGAGCACGGAAACCAAAGTAAGTGCAAAATGATATAAATACCCCTGTAAAGTTATGGCCAATCCTTGCTCATGCTCAGGCCCTGTTTGGTTGAGCTGTGGCTGTGGGAAAAAGTTGTTGTGGGCTGTGAGCTGTGGAAAAGCTGCTGTGGGCTGTGAGCTGTAGAAAAGCTGAAAGCTGTTTGGTTAAACAAGTATAAAATATACCTTTTATCTTTATCTCTCTTGAAACAACTATGGAAGAGCTTTTTATTTCACCAATTTCGAAAAGCAGAAAGCCAAAAGCCAAAAGCAGGGTCAAACCAGCTTTCAAAAATGAACTACGGAAAAACAGTTGCTTCTAAAAAAGCATCCTTCAAAAACAGCCCCTTTAATTAAGCTTTTGGCTTTTAGGACAAAAACCAAAGCCAAAAGGCCAACCAAACAGGCCTCACTAGCAGGCTAGCAGCTTCCGTCGGGAGTGCTCCGGAAGCCACGCCAGGTCGCCACGTGTGATTGTGGACACTTCCAGTCAATTTTTTTCAGGTGCAGCGATCCTCTTTTTAGCGGGAGATGGAAAACACGCTGGTGCGCAGGCTGAGTACTCTAGGATTGCGGTCTTTCTAGAACAAAATTTAAAGTCCAGAATTGCAGGGACGGAGGGAGTATACACAATTTCGACCTAGATTGCTATTAAAATTAATTCTATTTCTATGTAGTTTAGTTTTACGCTAATGCTCCACCATAGGCGTTCGTCCCGCGTCGGTCTAGGCTGCGGACCGGCCCACAGGCCTGTCCCCCATTGGCATACAGGTTTTCTCCAAAAAAATAAAAAAGAAAAGAAAAGAGAGCGACATCCTATCTTCCCCATTCGCATCATGCTCCACCGCACCGCCCGCCCTTCAATCGCGTACGCACGAGCTCTGCTAGCGACCGCGTCCGCACGAGTGTCGTCCCCGTCCGCATATGCACGAGCGTCGAGCGCTGCCGCTAGCCGCGTACGCACGAGCTCCACCGGCCGCACTGCACCGCCCGCCCGTGGTGAGGGAGACCGCTGTTGTAACACCCCGGTGTTATGCCTGCATTTAGGCACTGCAAATCCCGCATATCATGCATCATCAAGCATCCAACTCATACATGCTTAATCATGTGAATAACAATTGAAACATCGCCTTGAAACATGTGAAACATGATTAGGAAACAAGAGTATCATTTCAAGTGTTTTCATCATTTCAGTACCTTTAGTGCTTGATTATTGTATGACCAATGTGTGGTATAGCTAAATATATTGTTAAACATCTTAGCTATGCTTAGAAAGTCGTTAGGAACAATGTTCATGTTGATCATTTTGCCCAATTAAGATTTCAAATCATGGTTTGACTTGTTTTGACCCTAGGACTTTTTGGTTTGACTGTTTAAAAAGTACCACTTAGAATGTTTGCATGTCAGAGCAACCTAAAACAAAGTTGTAGCAAATTACATAAGGAACAAAAGTTATTTTGTGACCAAGTCATGAAAATGTGCACAACATGCTCAAAATGGTCCCACAAGTCAGAAATTGGGTTGATTTCAACACTTAGCAATTTCTAAGTATAAATTCCGGTTTTCAGTTTCTTGAACACGACTTTGGCATGATTTTTCTCTCTATCCTTTGCGAATTAGAGAAAGTGATCCTTAAATGAGTTTTGTAGTTGGCATGTAGGTGTGCAACTTTCGTTTTGATTTCTCTCGCTAACACTCAACGGATTAGGAGATCGAGCCTCGTATTTTTTGGCTGCTCCACCCTTTCGTTCTCCGAATCATCGCGCTAAAGGTCGACAGTGTTCAGAAGGTCTTTGCCGTGGATGGATGCTGCTGTCGCCGATCTTTCTTTCGCAGAGCCACGCGCGCATGCCGCTTTCGGCACCACTGGCCTCGCCTTAAGCCCCCACATACCGCCTGACGACCCGTTCGGCTCGTTTTTCGTTTTCATTCGCTTCTTCGCTCGCACACGGCTACACCTGCCTTGCAAGAAGCAATCTTCGACGAGCTCGCTCTTGCTCGCCGTCGCAAAATCGCTCACTACATCTTCATCGCAGTTGTCGCCTTTGTTCTCTTCTACCTCCTCCACCCCTTGGCTGCACCGTCTCGAGTTTTGGTAAGGGCGCATTGTCCGTTCCCGACACCGCCGCCATGTGTGTGTCCTCACCGGAGTTGAGGCCGCCGTGGTTGGGGTATCTTGGGACTCTTACGCCTTCTTCTAGTTGCTTAGATAGCTCCGTAGTAGTTCAGTAAAGCTTGCCAAGCTTGATTGTGGCAATGTGAGTTCGCCGTCGCGAGCGCCGCAATGATGATCACGCCGCCGCTGATGTTGACGCCTGGCCGTGGCTGGGGTACGGTGAGAGGTTGAAACGAAGGTCTAGATGGGTGCGCATAGTGGTGGGGAGCACGCCGGTGCCGTCGGGTTCACCGGAGAACTCGCCGTCGGTGAATTTCATGGCTGCCGCGCCGTCGTCTCCCTCCATCCCCTGTTTCCTCTCGCTGACTCGCGGGTCCCATTTGCCGATCGCTTGCCGCGAGAGGAAGAAGTCTTTGGGCTGCGTCGTTGCTCGGGCCGTAAAGCGCTGCGCAGTCGTGGGCTGCCTAAGCCGTCCGGGCTGGCCCAGTAACGCTTAAGTGAATTGATTTTCATTATTCTTTATTATTTGAAATCTGAAATGGTTTGAAAAATATTTGGATGGTCAAACTTGCTCCAAATTTGTTGAAACAAATTTTGCTAGGTTCCTTATCATCAGATCTACTTGGGAAAATTATTGCATGTCATTTTTGAGATACTTTTCTATAGGATTTTATTTAATCATGTAAATTGCTGATAACTTGAAAAATGTGTATAAAAATATATAGGCTTCAGAAAAATATGATTTCAAGTTTGTTCATCTTCTTATGTCATGTACTTCCTAAGAAAAATAGGTTTCATGCATGTGCTGTGGGAAAATTTTGAGGTGTAGTTCAAGTCCCTTTAATGACTGATTTTTGTTATTTTTGCTAAAAAGCCAAAGTTGCATAAAACATGCATCTGATAATTTTTGTACAGTCATTATATGCTATTAAGAACCTAGGAAAAATACTAATTCTGTTGTTTGACACTTTTCATAGTACAAAGTAATTTCATGCTCATTTTTATGCTATAGCTTGTCATTTTTGTGTAGGATAGTTTACTTATCCAAATGCTATGAAATTTTTATGGTAGTCTGTTTAGGGTAGTATTATGCTACTGTAATTTTCTCAGATTTTTAGGAGCATCAAAAATATATGTTGCTATTCAAACCTATTATTAATTAGGGTTTAAGCAAGTGTTGCTTTAAGTGTGATTAGGAAATTAGTAAAGCTTTGGTGTATCTTTGAAGCATTTAATAAGATGTGTTGACTTAACCTATTAGTAGTAGAAGAGAATGCAGTAGATAACATGTGCTTGTAGTATATTTTCTTGGATGATATGACTACCTTGCTGTTTAACATATCCATTGCATTCATCTCCTTCGATGCACCGTTTGCATAATCACTTTCGCGCATTGCATCATACAGGATCGCAAACCGAGAACCCAGCCGTCATACCCGAGGAGCCCGAGGAGCAGCTCGAGGTGCAGCCGCAGGAAGTGCCAGAAGCCGACGAGGAGGACGTTGAGGAGCTTCCGGAGTGCCCCGATCACCGTCCGAGCTCCTTCGAGAGAGGCAAGCCCCGGAGCATCTTTCTCCCGGTTTGCAATGATTTCATTAAATGTTTTACTTTAAATTGATGCATTACGTTCAGGAGTTGTTTGCAACCGTTGCTGCATTGTACCTTGTTTACCTTTGTTATACTATATCCTTGTTACCCTGGTATCCGCAGTCGAGTCAATGCTTAGCTGGCTTAGACCGGTAGAAGTCGGGTGATTTCGTCACCGCGAGCTATAGGTGGTTACGGATCTCGCTTGGATGGCTATGAAGTCATGGTATAACTAAGTGTTAAATGAAGTTGAGACCGGCGGAGACTTGCGTGGTTTTGACCGTAGTGTTTCCGTGCGGTCGATTAAGGACCGACCGTTGTTGGGCCTCGAGTCATGTTGAACGATGCCTTACATTTAGTGGCGGATAAAGTACCTTCCGACCGCTGGTCGGGAGATTTTTCGGCCGAGTAGATTGCCCATGCAGCGCCTTGTGTGAAGCAGTGTGGTAGGAGGACACGGGCGGGATGATAAGACCAAAGTGCGATCGATTCGCCCCCCGGTACATGTGGTTCCCCGCAAACTCGAGATACACGGAAAGTTGACTCGGTGATCAATATCTCACTTTAGCGGGTGAGTGAGATTTGTGTAAGGAATAAATCACCGGTGGTTAGGAATCGATTCGAATCGCCATCGCTCCCGGATAGTGAGCACTTGACTTGAGTTACTTCATCGTAGTAAATGTTTATGGAACACTTGGGACAGTTATAGTGAATATGACAAGATGGAAGTTGTTTAATGATCAAGTGGTTATCATTAATTGCTTAATCACATGTTTACTCTAGTATAGGTGCAAATCTAGTCGACAAAGTTAATAATAATTAACTTGACAATAATGCTTTTAGAAAGGTTCTTGAAATGCTAAAATGCTTCTTTTGCAAATGAGTCAGCTACCCTACTATAAAGCCTGCATAATCCTTGGTGTCATTTATTTTCGGTTATGTCGGGTAAGTCTAGCTGAGTACCTTCTCGTACTCAGGG